GTTTAGTAAGACCATCCTAAACAAGTACAAAATCCTTGCTAAACTTATTTTTAGGAAGGTTTCGTACTTGTCTAGGAATGTGTTTAGGAAGGCCTTCCTAAACAAGTGAAAATTCTTCCTAAATTTATTTCTAGGAAGGTTTCCTACTTGTTTAGGAATGTGTTTATGAAGGCCTTCCTAAACAAGTGAAGATTTTTTATAAACTTTTTTTTTTAAGAAAGTTTCTTACTCGTTTAGGAATGTGTTTAGGAAGGCCATCCTAAACAAGTGAAGATCCTTCCTAAACTTATTTCTAGGAAGGTTTTCTACTTGTTTAGGAATGTGTTTATGGAAGACCTTCCTAAACAAGTGAAAATCTTTCCTAATTTTTTTTAAGAAGGTTTCTTACTTGTTTATGAAGATATTTAGGAAGTCCTTCCTAAACAAGTGAAAATCCTTCCTAAACAAGTGAAAATCCTTCTTAAACTTATTTTTAAAAAGGTTTTCTATTTGTTTAGTAAGACTTTCTTCAACAAGTGAAAATCCTTCCTATAATTTTTTCAAGAAGGTTTTCTACTTATTTAAAAAGGTGTTTAGGAAGGCCTTCCTAAACAAATGAAAATCCTTCATAAACTTATTTTTAAGAAAGTTTCATATTTGTTTAGGAAGGTGTTTAGGAAGACCTTCCTAAACAAGTGAAAATTCTTCCTAATCGTTTTTTAGTGAAAATATATATAGTTTAAGAAAATAACATAAAAGTAAATAATGAAATTTACATAAACATAAAAAATGTAATATATGTTAAATAAGACAAAAATATTAATATAAACAAAACATAAAAGAGTTAATTTTTAATGATAAAATATTAATACATTTAAAATAATATCATAACTTAATTAAAAACATATATAATTACGTATATATTAGATTTTTCAAATAAATATAATATATTTATTTCGGTTAGTTAAATAACTTTAATAAAATTGTGAAACAGAAATTCGCGCACCGCGCGAGCATATTCTAATATTATCATATATCAAACATAGATATAGTTTTATATTTTCTTTTTTGCTTTTTTCTGAATTCTCATTTATGTTCCATATATTTAAAAAATTTTCACCAATATGTACTTCTAAATAAATCACTCCGACTAAATAAAATGTGATTTACCTAATTTTATTTTTTAGATCATGACCTAAAAATCAATTAGTTTTGTTATATAGTTAAAAATTATGTTAAATAACCCGCGCGAATGCGCAGGTATTCACCTAGTTTAATTAATATGGCACAAAAGATCAATAAGTATTGGGCTTATAATCTTTTTAGCAAATCTCAAATCCAATCCCAACCTTATATGATTTTAAATTTGGTTTAGTTTGGTATGTCTTCTCTCTATTACATCATAGTGTAATCTCAAGATTTTAAACTTTGTTATGGTTTTTCTATGAGCCTAATGGTCCATTCTTATTCACATAATCCAATTTAATCATATCAATTATTTGGTCCATGAAGTTTTAATTAATGTGAAATTAAAATTGTTCCAACA